ACACACACAACAACTAACACACACACACACACACACACACACACACACACACACACACGCACGCACACACACAAACGCACACAAACACACACAAAGAAACAAGCAAACACACGATGATACGCGGGACACATAATAATCCGCCACTCCCTGCAAAATAACTCAGACCACAACAGCTTGTTTTTCGATGCCACTTCCTCCAAGTCACGGGAACTCCAGGCGGATCACATGCATGGCTACCTCGGTAGAATCTGGGCACACATCCTGTGGTGGAGACATTTCCGTGACTAGCATAGCTGACCCCGGGCCTAGGGTCACCCGCCACCGACCGGACCCACCAAAATACACAGTAGTGCTTTTATGTGAAATCATAATGACTTTGAACTGTAGAAGACTGCGTGTGACAACAATCTCTCGCGTTTAATGGCACATTGTACTTGTAGTGCTGTTCTTAACTATTGGAACCTGTTTTAACTACATTACTAAGACGCAAACGAATATGGGACAAAGTCCCATCACGGCAAGCTTAAGAGAATAGTATGTATTGGTGTGTGTGCGTGTGTGTGTAAGGCGGGGGAGGGGGGCTTATAATGTGTCTTTCTGGTTTCTTGAAAACTACCAACAAGAACCTGCATAAATTTCTAACTGATATATAACCAAGTAACCCGATATAGAGCTTGCATAGTCTCCACCAGACTCCTTTGCAGACTGAATAACTAGTAGAAATTGGTCTATATATAAAACGGGGATATAATTGGCCAGAGGAGTTTGCTGATCGTGCAGGCAAATGGATCCTCTCTTGCCGGCCAACCCCCTTTGGCCAATTTTAAAAATCCCTTTTTTAGACCGATTTAGACCGATACTTTTTATCCAGCCTGCAAAAGAGTCTAGATAATGGAGACTAGAGCTTGACAGGGAGGCTAGAGAAGAGAACAAGAAATAGCCATGCCTTCAAGTACCAGAGTTATCAACCAAGGATTGAGGTGTTCAAGAATTCATTCTTTCCTAGAACTATCGCAGAGTGGAACTCACTGTCACCAAGTACAGTAGGGGCGTTGTCATTAGATAGCATTAAACAATGTCTAGAGTTATAAGTTCAAGGGTTAGGTGTAACAAGTCGATCGGTGTAATATAGCAAGCTGCCGCCGCGACGCGTGCCTGCGAAGCTGGTGTGTTACGCCGAAAGGCGGTTATACCGGCTATACAGAGACATGGCGACTCATGTGCAAGGTCCACGACCGCTCGGAGAACACGCCCCCAACCCCCACCCCAGACTAATCTAATCCAATTTAGCCATTTGAATTTTTCTTTTGAAGTGCAGGCAACTCTTTCAGTGTTATTGCAGTGGTTCTGTTATCAAATTAGCTCCAACGATGGTATGGTGGACGTGCGCTGCATTGTTATATTATATGTGATGTGAAGTTTCAAACTGTTGTTCACATCGTTGCTTGGCAATAATGCTGAGGTCACATTTCCAAACCGGGGCCCGACCGGGCTCTTTAGATTAACAATTTATATCAATAATATACACAAATAGTTCCCAGTATTAATTTTTTCAACTTTTTGTGCTTTGTAGTCTTTCATATCATACAATTCAACAATCTCAAATATATGAAATAGCCCCTGAAAGTGTTAGATAATTTAGAGGTCGTTTTGTTGTGTGCAATGAAAATATTTAGAAAAAAGATCAACATTGAGTTATGCCCACGAATTGTAATAAAAGATGCCACAAAGGGAAATTCGGAAAATGTTGAGTAATTTCCCGCAATTTCTGTTATTTGTTTATCATTTTTGATTTCTGTGTCTTTTCTGTGTATCTGTTTTATGTAGATAATAACTTATTAATAGATGTGGATATTGTGTATGGATTTGTGTGTGGATTTGTAATTTATAATTTCTCTCCCACCCAGGTCACCAAAATGGGCGGAAAGTCGAGCAAAAGCAAACAGAAGGACAAGGACGGAAAGAAACAGAAGAAGAGCAAGAACAAGGGGAACAAGGAGAACCACCCCGGGGACGACGTACCGGACACTGGGTTCGACCCCTTCGGGGGGAGCGCGTCTCCCACCCCGTTTGTCGGCTCCGGCTCCCCCGCCAATGGAAACGCCCGTATCGGGATTCCGAGCTTTCATGATCATACTCCAGGTGAGACATTATTATTTCTGTGTCTTGATTTTGTTTAATTAATCAATTATTTCATTGTTTAATTTTGATGTTTAATTCAAATATGTTTTTTCATGTATCATAGTTACCTTTGTTTGGGGTAGGCCCTTTAAAAAACCACCTAAGTTTCTGGCCTACCCTGCATATTTTATTATTGTTATTATTTGATTATGTAACTTTTTTTACACGTGCAAATAATAAATAAACAAAGAAACCTCTGTCTTGAAATCCAAATTTCCTTGTCTAAGAGTTTTAGCCCGCTTTTAGCCAAAAAAAAATTAAGCCCGCTTTTAGCAAAAAAAATGAACTCTGCTAGCCATATTTTCGATCTAGCCCACAACCATCGTCAAAAATAATGACCCATCCATTTTTAACACGTGACCGTATGGGTACGTGACGTCAATGATAGGTCAAAGGGCAAATGTAACCCGCCAATACGGTTTCTTTCATTCCAGGTCCCATGCAGGGCACAGTGGGAGTTTTGCTGTTCCAAGCACTGTACGACTATGAAGCCAGAACGGAGGACGATCTTAGTTTCAAGAAGGGAGACCTACTCCAGATCGTCAACAACAAGTAAGATCCACTACTATAGGTTTAGCGGCTACTGAGTAGACCAATTCGCATCAAGCAGACTTTTTGTTCTCCTTTTTTTAAGGTTTATATGATGTAAATGATGAAAAATTTCCGGTGAAAAATTGGTAGAAAACACAGTTGATTACCACCAATTTTTTTTACCAGAATTCAGTTTGCAACTGGTGGATGACGCAATGACTGCTAACCCGAATACTTTTTATATCTTACAGTGACGGTGATTGGAGGGTGGCACAGGCAATGACCGCTAACCCGAATATTCCTTTTTTTATCTTACAGTGACGGCGATTGGTGGATGGCACAGTCAATGACCACTAACCAGCAAGGTTACGTTCCCAGCAATTACATCGCCCCGTCTGCCTCCGTCGAATCAGAGGAGTAAGTAATATTTGTTATCAAAAATATTTCCAACATTTTCATAAGTTTGGTATGGAGTATAAATCAAAACCTCTTAAAGCAAAATATTTATTGTTTTGTTCAGCATTATTCTGTCGTAATTCGAAACAAAATGACATATCAATTTTCAGTTTCCCAGTGTTGTGCATAGCCATTTAGATGAGTATGTAACGTTACACAGAAAATCACATTTATCACATAAATTCAAAATTAAAGTCCCAAAACTGTCAATTTCGACTCTGTACCAAGAAGTTTGTTACTGGATTTAAATGAATGCATTCAAAATACAAATAGTGTAGCTCAGAAGTTGAAACTGGTTTTGTCTCGTTCCCACTAGTTGGTACTTCGGTAAGATCACCAGAAAAGACGCGGAGAGACTACTGACCATGACGCCCACCCTCTCACCCGGAACGTTCTTGGTCCGAGAGCCAGAAAGGCGCCAAGGTAGGCCCATGCATATGTGTTCTTACCTTTAACCCTCAGCCTACAAAGGTAGCCATTTGAGCATCAAATATGTATTGGTTATATGGGGGTGTGTAACAGGGAAAAAATACAGTAGGTTGTCACCTTCCTCAGGGCAATTCTGACTGGTTCACATTGCACTGCAGCACAGGTGTCGCTGCTACAGATGCATTCCCAAACGTACAATATTTACATATCTACAGGAGTTTCGTTTCCCAAAGGTTTGGGAATGCATCTATAGTGGCAGCGACACCTGAGGTGGGTAGCAGGGAGAAGATAAAAAAATACAATAGATTATGAAAGCTACTTACACTAAGTTACAGATGAAGGTATGCGGTGTGAAATTCATCTGTTTAGCCAAGGTTGAAGTTTAAGATTCAGACCGCGGGCTAAATAATATGTAACCACCCGAAGGTAATCAAACGTCGGCTGAATAATACACATAGTTGTGAAAAAAAGAGTCTCTTTACTCAAGAAAATTGTACTGTTCCCGACCCAGGCGGCCACACGTACACGCTGTCGGTCAGAGACTGGGAGGAAGTGAAGGGAGTGAACGCCAAACACTACAAAATCATGAAGCACGACAACACGGGCTACTACATCTCCCAACGCAAGCACTTCGACAGCGTCTCAGAGCTGATCGCACACTATAAAGGTAAGATCTCAGATCTCAAGTATCCGTAACTCTTCAAGCAGAGGCTTATTTTTGGCGTGTTTTCAGGCACTTTTATCGGGCATTCGTTTTTGTACTGGCCAGTCTGTTTTTTATTATTTAAAAAAACATACCATTTTATTACCAGTTACAGTCCGCTAACATACGCATCGGGTGCGTACGCTTCGGGTGCGGCAAGCTGTACTCTCCAGGGGACCAACTCCCCTGGCATGCTATCTCTCTCTATTTTGCCAATTTCTACTCTTTCTAGCCGCCGCCCAAAGCCTGGTAGAGGCTATTAAGACACAAAAACTAGCAAGGTAACATTTGCAAAGCATCTGCATAATGTTTACCTTCGTACATGGTCCGCTCTATTAATTCTTATCTTACTCAAATACATTCATATATAGTCATCAGACAGGAGCATAAATCCTTCCTACTATAAAATTGCAACATTATGTAACCCAACACCAGTTACCATGGCGAGAGACGTCAAAAATCAGGTCATTGGCCAGGTCAGAGGTCAGTGTTTGGAACTGAAGAAGAAGAAGAAGAGGAAACGTAGCAAAACATAACAAGCCAAAGCCTCTGTTTGGAGAGTAGTATTCGTAACCTTAAGGGTTTCCGTTTTCAGGTAGAGGATAGGAAGATCTTCGTCGTATTGTCACTGGTACGAAATGGGCCAAGACTGTTATATCAAACACGACAATAATAACAAAGTTCTCTAACAATATTTTAAACTATAAACTATGTGCTGTAAGACTCGCTGCTCTTGCCATTGCCTTACTTTTAATGCTTTGCGCTGGTTCAATTGCATGTGTTTCTTTTCCTTTGCGATACAAGGAATATTCGGAGACTTCAGACGTCGATCGTCAAGTAAGTCATCTAAAGGCATCTTCGGCACGTAGCTGTGCACTTTGTAGGTTACTATCAGTTGCACTGAAAATCCTGCTTAGTTAATTTCCGTTCAATAACATGATTTCTTTCTTTTTATATTGCTGCACCTTTCTTTTCGCAATGATACTCATGATGACATAATGAAATTTTTAAAATGTCAGTTTTCTTGTGTGAAGGAAAGAATAGGAATTGTTAAAGGTTGTCTGCAGATTTAGTTGGGGGAGGTTGCTGAGCGTTTTTTTGGGGCTGAGCTGAAACTGTGCAAAACTCAGTTACTGCTATTAGCGTACCGATCATGTATAGTCGGGGTAGCCATTTTCATCAAAACTGTACCGAAAAAACTTATTAAAATCTGAAGATTGTTTTAAACAACTTTTTTAAACATCGAGCTACCGAGCCGATAATGAGATACCAATTCAGCTGGTAAAACTACTGTTTGCGATCCGCGCCGTGGTTGTCATAGTTGAACTGGGCGGCAGGAATAGTTGACAGGCCCGCCCAAAGATAGCCCGCCCAAACTACGATACAACTGGACAGCAGGCTATGGCAGCCATCGCATTTTTACATGCGTGCCGAAGTCTCCTGTAAATATTCACAAACAGACAAGGAGAAGATTCGGACCTTAAATACATCACTAGTACCTGAAAATGATTGAGACTACATCATTTTACGGTGCTGAACTAATTAGGCCGCAGCAAGTAAATTTTATGGATGACATCCTCCGCGGACTCCAAATCTAATGTGGTAGGGCGAAAAAAAAAACAAGATGGGCCAAAAACAACAAGATTCCTACAGTTTGAAATGTTGACATGAAGAGTCTGTTCCAGCACGAGTTTTTTTTGGGTGTCCTCTGATGAGCTAAAAGAAGCGTTCTATTCCAGCGTCGTCGGACGGTTTGTGTCGGAAGCTGACGGAGTCGTGCCCGAAGGTGAACCCGGAGACGGGCGGTCTCGCCAAGGACGCCTGGGAGATCGACAGAAATTCACTCAAGTTCGACAAGAAGCTGGGGGCTGGCTGCTTCGGAGAAGTATGGGCGGGTGAGTGGGACTATACACATGTCAGTCAAACCCTTCAGATAATTTTAGACATAGTTATAGAACTTCTAGACAGCTACCTTTATCATGTAGACTTTAGTTATTGTATAGTCTGTATCAATGTTCTTTTATGTTTTGTAATTTGCAATTAGCTTCTGAGCACGAATTTGCAATAAACTTTTCATTCTAAATCTCTCCCTGGTAAATTAACAACATGTAGAGAAATTGTATATCTCTGGTAAATTAATGAGATAGCAGGGGTGCTATCCCATTAATTCGCCATATAGACTGTTAAGAGTGTGGTATAATGGGATAGAATTTTCTACCTATAGCTACCCCATGTTAAAGTAGTTAGCACGTTTTTGAAGACAATGCTTTTCGGTACTAAATAAATGGGATAAATAATCAAAACCAAAACTCAGTCAAATGCAAGGATCTTTTGGGCGCCACTCTACAGTTGGTAAGGGAAGAAGGACGTATTGGAAACACCGATAAACTATAACTAGGGTGGCATCCAGGCTATATAATAAGAGTTTCGTACATAGCCAATGTATAGTGATTGACAGGGATTCCGGAATCGGAAGTTGAAAAGTTCATTCAAATTCCGGCTGCATTTGCTAAACCAATTTTAGTGTACTTACCAATTTTACGGAACACAATGAATGCAATTCACTATACCCGTAGCAATTTTACGGGTAAACTCAACAACACTATTGATAAGATTGTTCAGTATACCCGTACAACATTGCATGGTATTCTCCGTAAAATGGCACCACTGGATCTGATTCGTTTTACCCAAAATGTGTCTTAACTATTTCCCTATGTCTAAACAGAGCTATATGGTATTTTTGGACAGGCACGTGGAACAACAAAACTAGAGTCGCCATCAAGACATTGAAGGCTGGCACGATGTCTCCTCAAGCCTTCCTCCAGGAGGCCAACATTATGAAGAAGCTGCGGCACAAGAACTTGGTGTCTCTGTACGCTGTCTGCTCAGAAAAGGTACGTTTGTTTAGTTCAGTTACCCCACCTTTCGAAAAAGGTAATAAAAGTCCCTTGTGAGGCCACTGTGTTTTGGGCACGACATTGGCTGGTGGAGGTCCGACGAAGACGAAGTCCTTACCTTAGACCTTAGGTCCTCCTGTGCTTACAGGCACATTGGGCAGCAAGCTTCCATCTGGGTCTAGTGACTGCTGCCTCCTCAGCCTCTTCCCAGGTTATGTTTGCCCTCTTGAGGTCCTCCTGAAAGTTTTTTCGCCACCTCTCTTCCTTCTGCCCCCTGGTGGCACCCAGGTCATGGCAGTCTTTGAGTCGCGCTGGCTTGATAGGCGTAGGATGTGGCCTAGCCTGCCAGTTGCATCCTTAGACTTGCCTGTTGTTGTAATGTCGACGAAGTCAGGTACTCATTTACAGTGTATGGTGTTTTTTTTATCACAAGGACACCATGTCTAGCCAGAAATGTCAGGGATCGAACCCATGACCTCTTGAACCCGCTAGCCTAATCATAGTTCAACCTCTAATCGTCATTTGTTTCTCCAGGAACCGATCTACATAGTGACTGAAATGATGATGCACGGCAGTCTGTTGGACTATCTCCGCCAGGGCGCAGGGATGGCGCTCAAGTTTAAAGAGCTGGTGGAAATGTCCGCACAGGTACAATGCTTTTGTTGCTTGTTTCTTTTAATGGTTCTAAGTGTTTGACGAAATGCTTTTGGGGCAGCAATTAATTAGATCTTTCAGTAGTAGTACCTTTCCTACTCCTCTTTACCTATCAATTCAATTCGATTTTATCAAAACAACTCACAGACATTAGTCTAAATCGTGTTGTCAAGAAACAGAAAAAATGAACCATAGAGGTATGAAAAGCCTAAAAAAACACGGGTAAAACACTGGCTGAGACTCTGCATTTGCTTGGGGATTTTCTACATGCGCTATGCTTTGTGTCAAAATCCTCTTGGGTCCACTTCTACATTCAAATTGTTTCTTCAAGACTTTTAAAGCAGAGAACTTAGAAATCTGTTTACTGTTCACTGGAGAAAATGTGGACTTCACCTTGCCGTTTCAGAGGTGACCAAAATATTTTCTTGTCAAACTTTCCTCTCAGATTGCAGCAGGAATGGGCTATATCGAGAAGATGAACTACATCCACCGTGACCTGCGCGCCGCCAACGTGCTGGTAGGAGACAACAACCTATGCAAGGTTGCCGACTTCGGTCTGGCCAGACTGGTCAACGACGACATCTATGAAGCTTCTGCTGGTAAGAACTCGACTATGAGCTGTCTATTCAAACTTCTACAATTTATCCCGATTTCTCTAAACTTACAGACAAAAAAAACTATTCTTCTTTTAACTACGCATAACCCACAAATTTTGGAAAAGGGGGGACATAACACCTTCCATGGTTTACAAAAGAGAAGTCAGCGAAGGTTCAAACCCTGGCTCAGGCATGGTGTGGTGGATTGCAGGTCAAAGTTGTCAGAAAGTTGATACCGCCCCCCGTCTCTGTTAAGAAATTCGAATTGTCAAAGATGCTAGTTTCAGTACTGCCTCACGATTACGTCCAGATTACTTCAATACACGGTTACCTCAAGATTACTTCAATACACACCACCTGGAATTCAGGTCTATCGTGGTTGTGCGGGTTTTCTTCGGGGATGCAGGAGCTCTTCCCCGCCCACCTGAGCTAGGTTCCCTGGTAGGTTTTTCACGGCGGGAGTTTGATTAGTCCCACCATGTACTGGACGCAAAGAACTGAGATACTTTGTGTCCAGTGTGCTATGGGAATGGCACCCAGGCTATGATGGTGGGGGCGAAGTCAGCTCCCGGCGTGCCAAACTCTATCAGCAGAACTGCTACACGCGTAAAACTCCTACCGGGCGGTCTGTTGTACTGGGCGGGGAAAAACTATTAAGCCCCGAAGACAGCCTGCCCCAACCACGATAGACTGGATAGCAGGTTACAGCCTGTGCCGAACTTACCATTTGTCCATTTTACTGCTGCTCCTTCAGAATCGAGATTCCCCATCAAATGGACGGCACCAGAGGCGATAGAGTACGGCCAGTTCACTATCAAGTCGGACGTCTGGTCTTTCGGCATCATGATGACAGAGCTGCTGACAAAAGGGAAAATCCCGTACCCAGGTTAGATCTTTTTTAGTCATCAATACAGAAAACAATAACAAGGACCGTATGGCACTTCACTCAACGTTTTAAACTTGAAACAGCGCCACACAACAAAATACAATTTAACATAGGAATACACAGAGTTGACATAACAATCGGCCAAAGTCCTACCATCCCAAGACATTAAATAATACTGTCCTTGGTTATTAAAAAGTTATTAAATAAGATGTGTGACTTCTGTGACTGATTGACGAAAAAAATGTGCGATATTGGAGCTATGCTGTTATGCTACCGAATATTTCGCTTTCTGATAAATCATCCTTTAAAGGGGAACAATTAAAATTTCAGATGTGGGTTTGTACTCACCTGTTTTTGTTTTCTCCTCAGGTATGAACAATGCCCAGGTGATGCAGCAAGTCTCTCGAGGCTACAGGATGCCGCTGGAGTCCTTCAGCTGCCCCGACTCCCTGTACGAACAGATGATTAAGGTAAAGAACCGTTCTGATATACTTCCTGCAACGGTACGCTTCCTTTATCGTATATAGACTGTATAAACAGATATATACAGCCAGGACTGCCCAGCTAGCCGGAGGTATATTATAAAGGGCTAGCCCTCACGACAAGAACATAAACAATTCGGAACAGGTAACAGTTAACAGTGTCGGTTACACTTCAGATAAACATACTATTACATAACAGATGTGAGTTTCGGTAATATCTTCATCTTTTCGGGGGTCTTGGTTGTGGGATTGGGTTATTGGTTGCCCATACTAATGGGTTATTGGTTGACCATTAGTACTTTTCTACATCTTGGCAGAGAAGTATTGTTTTTGGGTGTGTGCATCTTGTTGTCCGGACATTGTAGGTTGACAGCACATGGCTTGGGAAGATTGACAGGCAGAGTGACAAGAGGTGAAAGGTATCAGAATATGACCTGGAATCAGCAAAAATTAGGGATCAACAAAGGGAATTCGGGAAGCCTGTGATTGCGACCATAGTATGAAGACCCCCATTTCTTACTTGTGATTTTTTTCCTGAGATAGTTTCCTAACTGCAACTTTTCCCACCCTTTCTCTACAGTGCTGGGACGTCTCCCCCGAAAAACGACCAACGTTCGAATTTCTGGCCAACTTCTTAGACGACTACTTCGCCGTCACCGAACCAGACTACAAGGAGCCGGACGAGTTTTAGGAAATCTTCTGTCCTCTGATTTTCTTTATGATGCAAGTATTAACAAAGTTTGGTTGCATTTACATTTGCTGGAAAGATTTTGAATGTATATACATGCACTGTGGAGGAGGTGCATTCACGTCACTGATTCTAACAGAATAAGCTATTAATTGACAAATCTGCAATCGTTCAAGCTCACGGACGTGTTAAAAAGCATCCGTAAATAATTTCATCAGGTTGGTAAACGAATGAATAGCAACGTTCTTTGATCACAAACATTTATTTTTCACGAGCCGACGTTTCGATGACCGTCTGTCATCTTCATCAGGGCAATTCTAAATGGTTTACTGTGCACTGACGCTAGATGTTACTTGGTGCATAGTGCACTAAAGGTGTTACACAGTTCACTAGTGCACTATGCACCAAGTAACATCTAGCGTCAGTGCACAGTAAACCATTTAGAATTGCCCTGATGAAGATGACAGATGGTCGTCGAAACGTCGGCTCGTGAAAAATAAATGGTTGTGATCAAAGAACTTTGCTATTCATGTTAAAAAAACAGTAACACAATGCGGAGCGACACAGCAAAAGTCCGCTTCTTAGCTCACATATGGTGACGTTAGAGAGATAGGAAGCCGACTAAAACTAATCAATTTTAAAAGTTTGACAATCTCTGTTGCAAAAAAAAAACGCTTTTAATCTTGATCTTTATACACAGACGACTATGAAGAAGCAATAATGATTGTATAGGTATCTAATTTCCTTTTTTTACCACTACTATAAAAATCAAGACCGAAGAATTTTACTTTGAAACAATTGTATATGATGCATTTTTCGTGCGTAATGTATATTGGCACCGTATTTGTAGACGTAGATTCTGCGTTGAAATTAGCAAAATATTACGATGTCAAAAAAAGCATTTTGAAAGACTATCATCATATGATGCGGAGCAGAACTTAGCTAGCTGATTTTAAAAGTTTTAACTTTTGCTTGATCCAACTCAATACTCTTTTAATATAATTATGCTCTCCTTTACCAAATGCTGAATGTAAGATATTGCAAATTTAAGAATAAATGAAGGGGACTCTATACTCTTTGAATGTGGAAACCACGTGAATGCCACGTGATCACAGAGATTTTTAAAATTGGCAAATATAATGGTGGGCAAGTTTCAATGCCAAGCCAGTGTTCTAGCCAGGAGTTTTTCATAGCATAGGGGTCAGGTACAGAAGAGCAACTTGCGAATCACGAAACTCATAACCCCCTGAGACACTATTTCTTGTTCAATGTGGAACAGATTTTGTGAAGTTAAGGTTTTCCCTTTGCTATAGCTTCATTCTAAAGTTATATTTTCATTTTTTTTTCAAGATGTATGAAGGGTCTCCCTCCCAAAACACCCCTATGCTGGTTGAAACTTAGCATAGGGGTCAAAATTATAGCATGGGGGTCAAAATTATAGCATAGGGGGTCAAAATTATAGCATAGGGGGCCCCTATGCTAAAAAGGCCTGGCTAGAACACTGCAAGTAATTCTACAAGCAATAAGGAACAATATTAGGTTAGCTGATACTCAAACTTTACCCGGAAATACCTGACTTCTTCTCACAGTGCCTTGACAAATCATTTTAATAACATGTTAAAGCATACAGTAATAACATGTGTTAACATCATTGAAGCCAATGAATATCTACTTTCAATTCAAACATAGATATATACAGTAATCAAGCAGTATTATGTTTGGTGTGATATTATGAAACACGAGTAAGACAAACAAGAAATTCAAGTAACAGACTAACTTTCAGAATGCTGCTGCTCGTTGAAGAATGGAATTGTAACAGATAACTGAAACATTTCGTATTTTTGTCTTGATCTTGGAAATTTAGCTGGAATTTGAGCTAATACCGCCAGAGGACGTTGTCTACGTAAATGTTACATTCATCTGCATCTGCAGTGAAATACCCTGTATTACCAGTTTACCCAAAACGTCCTCTACATTACGAATCAGTTTGTTTTATAAGGCCGTAGCAAGTAAATTTTATGGATGACATCATCCGCAGACTCCAAATCCAATGAGATAGGGCGAATAAAAACAAGGCGAACAAAAAAAAAAGATTCCTACATTTTCAAATTTTGACATTATAAACCTTGTTAAACAAGAAATGATACCTATATTGTGCTAGGTTTACTGCCAACTATTACAACATCCATTTGTCACTGAAAAAATAAAAGTTGTCATCCATAAAAATTACTTGCTGTGGCCTAATTTATATATTAATGTCCTGAGTTGAAACAATAAGGTTTTTCTCACACCTAAGTGACCTTAGTAGCACCGGTGATATCACTGGGACTATACAATAAGTCAATAATTATTGATATAATATAACATACAGTCAGCATGGGGATAACTTTAGGTGTAAAATATACACGTAAACGTCTCTTCAAAAAACTACATTGAAGATGTCAATTGCTCAATGGCACGGGGAGAGATTTTAATGCACGAATCATTTACTTTGCACTGCGTTCTTTTTAGCCAATTACAGAAGAATCACATACGACGTACGTTTCCAGGTCCCTTCGTTTTAAGAGCTTTGTAGTGGAAATCGACTGAATGTCTTCCGGTAGATGGGTCCTTAAATTGCCTGTGAGAAAATCGAATTTTACAACCGAATACTTTTTCTGGCCCGAACACAAATGTGCGCAGTGATGACTTAGCCAAATGAAATAATTCCTTTGGTGAGGAGTTTCAAGTAAGAAGTAAATCGTCTAGTTGTGTCTTTAAGACAAATCACAGTTTGAATGTTATTAAAATCACTGAAGTAGTGTAACCTGGTATCCAGTCTACCGTGGTTGGGGCAGGCTGTCTTCGGGCTCTAGTATAGTTTTCCCCCGCCCAGTACAACAGACCGCTCGGTAGGAGCTTTGCTAATAGAGTCTGGCACGCCGGGAGTTGATCGTGGTGGGGCTAAATTACCAATCTCCCGTCGTGAAAAACCTACCGGGAAATCTAGCTGAGTCAGGCGGGGAAGAGCGCCTGTAGCCCCGAAGAAAACCCGCCCCAACCACGATGGACTGGATACCAGGTTACAAGTAGTGTGACCTTGTACTTGCGTCGTCTATTGAAGGTTGTACCCGACTGCTTGTACGAATATCTAGCTTGTTTCCTGCATGTTGTCACAAGTATAAAGCACTTCTGAATATTATTTCCATACTTGAAGCTTCTTAGAAGGACAAGTACAGGAATATTCTGGACAAAGGCAATGGAGATATTTTAAAATACATGATTGAGTTTATGAACTGCCATTGTTTGCAATGATGTAAGAAAAAGGTTAGTGCCAAGACTTGCATCTAAAATGTTATAAAGTCAGAGGAGGGACATTGACTTAGCATCTGTTTGTTTTTATTTTCTGGTGAAGGGCAATTTTACGTAGAGTTAAGAGATAATCTAGACCATGTAGGCATGAAGTATGATGTACTTTTTCTTGTATAGAAAGAAAGCATTAGATCTCAGTGAGCCTTGTGACTAACGCTTGCTTGGTAGGAAGGTTGTTATCTTAGTTCTTCGTTTACAAAATGTGTATGATTGTAAATTTTGTTTCACCGACAAAATGTTTAATAATGAAAATCTTGGTAGAATGACTAAACAAAATGATTGGTTTTCCGTTAGGGCTGTTCCATTTTAAAATCTCAGAAGGGGTGTTCATGACTATCTCTAACTCCTTCTACTCTTTGATTTCATTCCAGTACCGACTAAATTGTCCACCTACCTCTCGCTTTTAAAGAAACTACTTACCACCCTGGCCTAGATTGTTAAATGGAATAGCCCTAAATACGTTGAAACTTCATGTATTTCGTTATCTCATAGGCTTCGCAACTAGCGCTTTCGGCAAGTACTGCAGGTGAATACAGAAACAAGCATGTTTGTTTTGAAAAGTCAATCATCATTAAACCAGACTACGTTTTGAAATAATAATGTAGCTTTTAGCCTGTATCCAATATAGCAAGAGGAAAATATGATCATGAGCACATACAGGGGAAAATTCCCCAAGTTACAAATGATGTTACTGTATATATACAAGTTGTTCGTCTGTAAGATATATCGCTTGTTTGTATAATCAGGTTTTCAAATAAAATATCAAGAATCTTATTATTCATTGCGTTTTTTTATTCGTACTTTCTATCATTTTTGATTCTCAAAAGCCATGACTGTATAAGTTATATTACTCGTAAGACCCTTGTTGTGAATGGTTAACAGCTAGGTTGTTAGGCCATGTTGATTTGATTATATTGATGACATCCGCGCTCGCATGAAGTTTCGGCCGTTTAAAAAAAAAAGTTTTCAACCGTGCTATAAATCAGTTGCATAAAATTATAATAAGCAAATATATACCGTAAGTTGCACAAAAATATTGGAAAACGATACCAATGTCGTAGAATGCCAAAATCAAACGAAAAAGAAGATAATGTAAAGAAATGAATTTGAAGACTAGATTATTTACCATACCATACCCTGTGTCATTTGTTCAACCTTCATGACCGCGTAGATTTCAGAATGAAGGCAATGGAAATGTTTGGAAAACATAGCCTTCTTGGCGAAGGTAAATACACATATCCGCAGCGTCCTGATTTCCTGGATTTCGCTGTGGAATGATCACCACTGAAATAAAATTGCCGCAACATGTCAAGTTTTACAGTAATCTCCAGACAGATGTCGGAAGGAAAGATTAGTATACTAGTTGCATCGTCTGCTGACTGCCCAAGGGCGATGTGTCAGGATAACAGGGCAGGCCACAGATTACGGTAAGATTACACGTTAGCGTTAGCGGAGGCAATATGTGTTCATTTCAACACACCCCATTTCAACCAGAGGCTGAGATCACTTATAAAGCCTCTACCAGGCTTCGGGAGGCGGCTGGGAAGAGTAGAAATCGGCCAAATAGAGAGATAACAGAGGAGTTGGTCTGCTAGAGAGTACAGTTTGCCGCACCCGAATCCTGTGTGGGGTCACCATATTTCTTTGAAGTCCACTAATCGCTATCTAATAGGTGCCAAGTAGCTAAATTACAAACTTCGGGTGCGGCAAACTTGTACTCTCTAGCGGACCAACTGTCCCTGGCATGTCATCTCTCTATTTGGCCGATTTCTACTCTTTCCAGCCGCCTCCCAAAGCCTGGTAGAGGTTACGCTGAACAACCAAGCAAGATTGGAGTTGTCTGATTCTTGGTTACATATTTGGAATATGATGCACGTTATAAAAGTATGATTTAACAGATAATAAGACATGCATGCATACATGCATACAAAACGTAAAAAAAATGGCCCGTCCTTGTTTGATCTAATGAACTGCACTATATCTGTCTAGAATTAACAGGTAATACAAAGTATACCTGGTAGAGGCTATAGCTACGTTCAGAGGTCGACGCTCAGCTAGCGATCGCCGACTGACGGGCGTCGACAGGGACCTTACACCTTAACAGTGTAATGGGACATTCAGCTCCAATACGGACCCCTATCAGTTTCGTCTCAATGGAGATGTACAGGCTTAGAGAGGCACTCAAAATCTCCCCATGCATGAACATTGCGTAATTTGCAATTGGCCCTAGGTTAGGATGTTTTGATTCTGTGTGTTTCAGTTGTAGAGCGTCCCGCATTCATGGACAAGCATATACAGCTAGCCCAATACGCGAGGAGCATTCTCAACAATCAAGTAAGGTCAAGGCAAGGAAACGAGTACGTGGGTGAAAACGGCTACTACTACACATTGTTCAACTCGGCGCAAAATCGGTATAGATCTAACTTTGTGGCCATGGACGTTAAAAACAAACCGACGGTTGCATCTGTGGGTGCAAGTCATTTTATTTCTATATATCTGAGCAGGCTAGCAGAGAATCGCGGAAGGATGAAAAAGTAGCTATAGCGTGTGGAAATCTATTTTCTTCTCATAGTTATCTGCCATCCGCGTTCTAGCATGGCAACAGACATCTTTGCCCATTTGCGGCATATTGACCACTGTCAGAGGACAACAAAATTTCTTGTTTTTTTCCCCAAAATCAGGCAAAAATTCATGCGCGCGCTGATGTCATCCATGAAAATTACTAGCTGTGGCCTGGTTGAGGATGGTTTGATTCTTTGTGTGTCAGTTGTAGAGCGCGCATTCATGAACACGCATATGTACAACATACTACGAGAGGAGCATTCTCAACAATCAAGTAAGGTCAAGGCAAGGAAACGAGTATGTGGGTGAAAACTGCTACTAGTAGTGCACATTGTTCAACTTGGCGCAAAATCGGTATAGATCTAACTTTGTGGCCATGGACGTTAAAACTATGTAAATTTGTCCATACATGTTTCAAAAAGAGAGAAGAGATCCTGAAGACAGATCTTGTAGATATATCCTGTAGGTAGACGTAGCACAGAAATGTAGCACCTGAAAAAAAGCATGTCTCGCCCCCGCGTTTCTTCCGTGCGGACGACAGGCAAGAGTTTTACGTCAAGTTTCGCCCCCTCCTTTCCCTGTGTGCATCCAGATAACGTACACGAGTAATCACCAGGGTCCTGAGTTTAATTAAGTTGCATTAATCTCATGTTAACGCACGTCCAGGAGCTTCAGAATGAGTTTCGCCCCCTCCTTTCTTAGTGTGAACCACATTAATGTACATACTGCAGTACCCTATAGGGCCGTAAGGCCACAGCATGTAAATTTTATGGATGCCATCCTCCGCAGACTCCAAATATAATGCGAGCGGGCGAAAAAAAAACAAGGTCCCTACATTTTAGAATTTTGACTCAATCATTGTAAAAATGGTTTTGATTCAGTGGGAACATCACATATACACAGCCAACATTGCATATCACTGCATCAAAGTAAGAAACAAAACATTAAATCAGAGCCTTTTCTTGTCTCCTCTCTTTATAGTTATCTGTCATCCACCGGCATGGCAACAGACATCTTGGCCCATTTTCGGCATGGTGACCACTGTCAGAGGGCAACAATTTTTTTTCCAAAATCAGGCGAAAATTAATGCGCGCGCTGATGTCATCCATACAAATTACTTGCTGTGGCCTAAGCAAGGTTAATAACGAAGCAGCTTTCGCCCCCTCAGAGTTCTTCATCATGATAACAATACAGGAGGAACATCTACGGCGCTAGTACATGTACGTACCATTTATCCCGTGTAATTATAACGTCCCCAAGGCCACAAGGTTAGATCTATCCCGATTTTGCACCGAGGTGAACAACTCGAACGTGTTACTTCAGTCGTTTCCAGCGCCCACGCACTCGTTTCCTTGCCTTGACCTTCCTTGATTGTTGGGAATGCTCCACTCGTAGTGGGCTGTAGAAGCTCTGAGGAAGGTTTCTATCGAAACGTAAGCAAGGTGAGAAAAGTTCTGGTTGTGTAAAAGAAAAAAAAATCCCAAAATATATCCTATATGTTTTACCAATCTGATGAAACTATTTTCAAAAGTACAGAAATGACCTAAACCACTCATTTAGTCGATCACTACTCTCTAAACAAAGGTTTGAGTTTTGGGTTATTTTTGGCGTATTTTAGGCTTTTCTTGTTGGGGTTTATTTTTTGCACTGGATTTTTTTGTTGGGTTCAATGGGTGAAAAAAAATCCAGCGCAAAAAAGAAACCCCGATTAAAAAAAAAGCCTAAAAACACGCCCAAAATAACCCCAAACCCAAACCTCTGCTTGGAGAGTAGTCCTGATCCAGTTGTCAGACGAGTAGCAGAGTAAGTAGTGAAAGTACAAACAGAACCACCTGCCGACCGCCTTCCTGTCATCTTTACCCCGTCTCACTTTCACTTTCCAGCTGTTCCGTGCACCTCCCTCCGGAAGATGCGGCCGGGACACTTCGCATGCGCGTCCGACCACTTCCGCAATATCGCAAAAAACCCCGGCCCAAAACAAAATCTACGGTTGCATCTGTGGACGCAACTCATTTTATTTCTACCCGGGCAGGCTAGTATAAAATCGTGGAAGGGATGAAAAAGTAGGTACAGCGTGTAGGAAATATATTTTCTTCTCAAAGAGGGACATTGTGAGCGATTTTCCGGGCCGTACAGTGAAAAGCGGAGATACAGCTGACTACAGTGCCGCTACTCACATCTAACTGTCTCGGCAACCCCGCAAACAAAATGGCTGAAGGACAACAAGAAGACAGCGGACAACAAATCGTGTTTCCCTGCGACTTACCCACCTGGGATGACCTCAAGTTGCTTCTTCAGGGCCTGAAGACGGTCCAGACGACCGATGATCTTGTCCCGGCGTTAGATCACGTTTACGAGCTCGCCCACTCGCGGCAGAAGGTATCGAAGCGAGGGAAGCACTCTCGGCGGGCGAGGGGGAGGAAGCCCCCGAAGAGAGACCGAGACAGTCACGTCGCGGGCCTGGCTTGGTTCCTGCAGAACGTCCTCGGCGAAGAAGAGAGACGGGACTTTTTCGGGAAGACCTTGCCGTGTATAGCAGACAGGGCTCTGGAGCTGGGAGAGTTAAAACCGGCCTCTGGACTGAAAATAAGTCAGCGACAGAGAGGTAAGATTTGGTGGGTTAGGGGAGGGGGGCAACGCTCGCACTGCACTGTATAATATTTGACACAACTGTGTCCATCTGTGTAAGATATTACAGAGCCGAATTATTTTCTACGAGAGACAGAAAAGACTGATGGCCATGCCATCTTGTGCTCCATGTGAAGTCATTTCAATGGAAAAGTGAGACACAAGTACAGTTGCATCATATGATGACAACACCTTAAATTTAATAATTCTTACGTTACGTTTTTAAGACCATGGGTTATCTTTCAAGCCCGATATGCGATTATTTGTTCTTATTTATGCAACGTCACCGCTGAAAATTTTACTAAGGCACGATCTGACTGTCATAGGAAAGAAAGACAGAAGGAATTTTGCATGAATGAACTCTCGAAAAAGCACACCTGTTTTTTGAGTGATCGCCCATTGACGAAACCTTGGGTTAAAAATAACAAATCGTCATGCCTGAGTACTGTTAATTTACAGTTGACGTCATGCCCAAATCTTTCTTTTGTTGTTTGGTGTAGGCTTAAAACAACAACATTGAGCCTAAAGCTAGCAGAAAGCCTTTCTAAGTATATTTGTTTACTTCTGTTGATATCCGTAAATGCTACTGCAGTATTAAAACACCGAATTGCCTCATAAATTTTAATCACCTAGAAGGTAGGAGGATGAAAATTCCATTTAAATTCTTCAAGGTTCCTGCCCCCCATTTGACAACATGCACTTTAGACAATACAGTCCAGGGCTCGAAATACTGGGTGCATGTGCACCTTAGTGCACCCAAAATTAGAGCTGTGCACCCAATTATTTTCTGTGGGTGCACTGGTGCACTGGTATTTTTGTAATTATCAAAATGTAGTATGCAGGATATTCTTGGCATCTAAGGGTCAGAAAAATAATAAAATCTTTGTTGTAGTACTTGTTTAAGATTTTGAAGTTAGCTCCCATTTCAGATTCAAGCTCAGAAGAGGAGCAGTAAGAATAAAGTTATTAAGTTTTGTTTTATATGGTGCACCCAAAAAATTTTTTGTGTACCTAATTTTTTAGGTTGGGTGCACCTGTGCACCTATTCCCAAAAATGAATTTCGAGTTAGCTCCCATTTTAGATTCAAGCTCAGAAGAGGAGCAGTAAGATTTGTATTATATTATATATTTTGTTTATATGGTGCACCCAAAACATTTTTGTGCACCTAATTTTTTAGGTTGGGTGCACCAGATATCCCAAAAAATGAATTTCGAGCCCTGTAGTCCCTGGAGTATCTTTTAAAGGATCAGGGCAAGACATGAATGTTCTTTGGTCATGCATCATTTGTTAGGAGCTATATATAGACTCATTTTAAATGGTTGTCAATTTCCTTAGCAAAGGTTACATGTACTTTGAGGAGAAGAAAACTCTCAAGGGGATTTGCATATATCAACAGCAATTTAGGATTTTTGTGGGGCCAGAACAGGTGTTAAGAACTTGGATGAGGTAATATATAGAATACACAGTACAACACAGGATATTCCGTATTGCCCGCCGGGCCCCGAGGTACCAGCCCGACCGCGCGTCGGATCTCCCAATGCCGGAGGGAGATCCAATCCGTGGGAGGGCTGGGACCGAGGGTGAAGCGGAATACACTGTGTTTGTATTTTATTTATGTCATACCCACCCAAGAAAACACGCCTTTCAATGCGAAATGAGCAAAAATTTGGTGTCCCTAAATCCCAAAAAATGCAACAACATCAGTTCCAACGTCTGGATTCTGTATTCGAATTTTCGAAAGCGGTGCAAAATGCGTTCGAATTGCTCTATGGAAGCCACGGAAGCCTGGGCCGTACGCGTTAAGAACCCCCTGGCCATATCGCTAGTTATCACACTGGCTGGAACACCCGTATCGAACGTAATCGCGGCCCAGGTATGACATAAATATAAAATATCACTGTGGTGTCCTTGTGAAAATGTCTAAAAATTTCAGAATGGCCTATGAAAAAAAGGATAAAATATTTCCTACTATCACAAATGTACATGTAACTTACTACACTGAAGTAACCAAAATTGCAGGTGCAATAATAAAGAAATAATTGATTTTCAAGATATTGATATTATTTTCATGGTACCATTAAGGTATAATTTACAGCTCTTTTGATTTTAATATAGTGTACTGGCTGTGACTGGACTACTAAATGCCATATTTAATTGTTTACTTTATGACAACATTGACTAAAATATGCTTCCTGGGCACAATCAATAAATCATTAGTACTACTAGTGTATAGCACAAATTGTTTGTTTAACACTCAATGTTTGTCCTAGCTAATGCAACCGGAACTAGATATGATATTGAACTTTGGTTGATAATATTACACAGTGTACAAAATACTTTTTTGAACCATTGTTGCCCAGTGGGCAACCTACGGCAAAAATTAGGTTGCCTATCAGAATTTTAGGTTGCCCCACCTATAAGTTACTAATTTCTTCAAATTAAGTAATGTTACATACATAAGCCTTTGACAATATTAATTTCTAACAGCCTTTAGTTAACTGAATTGGATAATAACATTAAAAAGCATCTGCCGGATACTACAGTGGTGCAAGCGAAGTGGGCATGATTTGGGGGGCATTCTTAAAATTCAGGTAGCACACTGGGCTACCTAGGTTCAAAAATAGGTTGCCCCAAGTAAAATTTGGTTGCCCGGGGCAACTGGGCAACCAGGTATTTTGCACGCTGTATACAGTGAAACAATGTTACAAATATTCTCATGTACATTATGATTTACACAAGTTGATAACGTATCACTATCAAAGGTAAAAATAGATGTAGTTACTGTTTTGTAAACAAGTTATTCATAGCTGTTGATGGGATATAAAAATCAATATATTGATCTGTACCCAAATGCCTTAATCTCAAGGATAGAAAACTGTACAGTCAAAATATTTCAATAGATGAAGCACCTGGAAGGTCCCTTATAAGTTATAGTATACTCTTTTTGATAAGTGCGGTGGGTTCTTTAACATGCGTGGGGTGTGACTCTCCCCAAACACAGGACCTCCATTTAACGTCCTATCTGAGGAACGTGCCTATTATAGTAACCAAAGCTAGTAGGCACTTACATGTATTTCCACCTGAGTGAAGTGAGGAAAGTCGTGTAAAGTGCCTTTCTCAAGGGCACAAGATCGGTGACATGGTAGTATTTGAACCCGCGACCTCTTGGTCCTGAGCCGAACATGCTACCATTTATGTCACAAGGCCCCATAACTGTGCTTTATCCAGAACCGTGTTGTACTCATATTAGAACTGTGCTAAAATGTCCCAAACCAATTGTATTCAGAACTGTACTTTAGGCTACACCAATTTAATTTCTTGGTTAACGGATTCGCCTGCTGCAAAATGCTCATATTTTGCCCTGAACAGTTGAAAACAGTCCTTTTCTTCCTAGTTGTTACAGTTATTCCATCTTTCAATGCATTGGTATCATAAAAGTTCAAAATTCAGCCTGGTGTGTTGACTTCATGGCTCCTATCGTACCATTTTGGGCCATAATAGGATGCCTACGCCTGTTTTTATTTTTATTTTTATTTCACCCACCCGCTCCATTATTTTTCTAGAAAAATCTGTTAACCAAGAAATTAAATTGGTGTGGCCTCAGCCCTCAGGGGCTAACATATTATATGATCTTGGAAACACTCTGAGAGACCTGTATATACAGGACCGTGCCTGATTCTAAACCATAACCCATTCAGTCATAGAACTCTGTAGATACTAGATAGGCATTTGGTTCTGGATTTGACATTGATAGGGCCTTGCAACACCATTTTGTTTAATGTGTCTTACAGTCCATTATGAGATTTGATATTACACATGAATGTCATGATGAAGAGTTCCTACAATTCCATAGACATGAAATATATAGTGTGTATAATATACTTGACAGCTGAAAGGATAGGGAGGCATCTCTCCTAATCTTCCCTTTCAAAATGATGGATGTTTTTCTGCCGTGTAACATATGCATCTTGTGGTGAATTCCAAGGCTCAAAACGTCAGAGGACGATTTCAAGTGCAGTCACGCTAAAATATAAAAATAAAAATAATGTACGCAGTCTTAGTTGATGAAACTTAGGGAAGAACAAATTTATCTCTTTCTCTGAGTCTCAGTCTTGTCCAGGGATGCAATTTGCTTGTAAGTGATTGAAAGAGTATAATATAATAATCTTGATTTCCCTTTTCCCAGCACGTCGGAAGAACCGTAAGTAGTTGCACCTGCATGAAATCTGTAATGTATTGTGCATAGAACCTCGGCAGAATGTCTACATAAGGTCATATTCGTATAAAGTTAACTTCCCGTCTGAACTTCCAAAATTCTTATGTTGAAAAAAATATCTTCCGCAATAGGCAAAATTCTAATGCAGAGGTGACCAAAAATCCAACGAAAATCGTTAAAAAAATCAGGGTTTCCTGCTGGCGCAGTACGTTCTGCCGATGCGCTCCTTTCTCCTGTATACTATATGTTAGCCTGGGTACCATCCGGATTTTTGCTACGCAACGCTAGAAAAAAACAATTTTTTTGAGCGTTGCGTAGCGAAAATCCGGATGGTACCAGAGCGTTGTGTAGCGAAAATCCGGATGGTACCCAGGCTAACTATATGTGGTATTTGGGGAGGGAAATATAGCAGAAATGTAGAAAATGCGCCATGTAAAATGTCTTGTTCAGGTGAGATGTTTATGAACAGAGTACCTGTACCTGTGGTAAACACTTGAAACACAAACTTCCTCAGGGAAGAATGAATGGGAAACTTGAAGAAGGGTGCCCATTGTTGCCTGTGTGAATACAGGGTAATACGACCCCCTGGCTCAAAGAACATGTTGCAGGCCTCGAAATTAACTTTTCTTCCTATTTTCCCAGCACTGTCCCAAAAATAAATTTCAATTGTCCCGAAGTAAGGAAAAATTGCCCCAACCTGTTTTTGGAAAGTATTGTATGACTTTAACTTGAACTTCCAACTTTATTTCTTATGTTCACT